GAATTGACCAAACGCGTAATCTGCAGACATTGATGCCTGTGCTCCTTCCAGACCAGCGATACCAACACCAATGTGAGCCTCTTGAATCATGGCAACATCGTTTGCTCCATCACCGATCGCCAGAGTCATTGCACCACAGCCGTCCTTGACAAGTTTGACAGTCAAAGCTTTTTGCGATGGTGACACTCGACAACAGACAACCGTTTCGCACCGAGTCGTCAAATCGAGGAACATGGGCTTGAGATTGTCGGTCAGAGTGTACGAAAGAGTTTCACCGTCAATCACGACGGCAAAACCACCCAATTTGAGTCTCTTCTCGGCCACACCAAGTTCACCAGAACCAGGTATCGTGACTCTGTCGAGAGCCGCCTTGACTTGAGCTCTTGCACCTTCTTCAGATTCGGCGGACAAAATGATCTGTGAGCAGCAACGGCGAGATCTCGTCAGTTTCGTTCCGTCACGGAAGCGAATCCGGATGAGCTCACAATGTCCATCTCGTTTGAAAGCAGATTGCAGCTGAATCCAATCTCGATAGCCGTCTGCAACTTATCGCCCGTCAGGATCCACAACTTGATACCCGCTTGATGCAATTGCTCGATCGCCTCTGGTACCCCTGCTTGCAATTTGTCTTCCAAAGCAGTCGCACCCAAAATAGTGAGATCGCCTTCGATTAGCTCACAGGCCTTCTCAATTTCCTCTTCACGATCTTCGATGCTGGCACAGGCAGCGTCATAAATTTTACTCCATTTGTTGAATTCGTCTTCTCCAATGTATTTGGACGAGATGCACAGCGTTCTTAGACCTGCGTTGGCAAAATCTTCCAAATGTTTCGTAGTTGATTCGATCAATTGTTGATCATGATCAGCCTTCAATCGTTGATAGATGACCGAATCAGCTCCTTTACAAATTAACAAGATTCGATTGTCTGGCGTTCTGACAATTGTCGACATTCTTTTACGACTCGAATTGAAAGCCAAAGTTCGTAGTGGTACGTAATGCTCAGGCTGACCCATCACTTCAAGCTCAATTTCATGAGTTGTGCGACTGACGAATGCAAATCCAACGTCTCGTGCAGCAGACACCAAAGCCGCTTCGTCTGGTGATTCCGCTTTGTACTCGATCAGTTCTGGTCTGTCTGAATCAAAATGATCTGCCAACACTGTATGACAGATTGCCAGAGCACGCCAAAATTCTGCCAAACGCTGTCGATGATTTGAAGGCGTTGTCAAAGCTGAAGCCAAAGCCGGTGACACGAGCGTCAATTGATTATGACGCAAGTATTTGTTCTTGTAACCATTGTTGAGGATTTCAATCGTTTTATCCTTTTGTTGTTGAATATGATTGGTATCATGTAGAGCGTCCAAAACTGATTGATCCCGTCCTTCTCGTTTTGCCGCACCGAGCATGGCTTCCGTGACGCCTTCACCGTATGCTAATCCATCGACTGCACATTTTTGAAATTCCATAACATTCTGTGTCAATGTACCAGTCTTGTCTGAGAAAATGTATTCGATTTGACCGAGATCATCTGAAATGTTCCACGTCTTGGGAACGCAAGGGTGATCAAGCTGCGAAAACCAAGCGAGTGAAATCAGCACGATATCGAATGGCGCTTCAAGTCGACATCTACGCTCTGCCACTCACCGTCTCATAGTACATGTCGACGTCTTGGTAAATAAAGAACGCTTGAATCGTCTTGACCAGTTCGACCGTGATAACAAGCGAGATGGGTACAATATTTTGAAACAAAATCAAAGTGGCACCAAACGTAACGATAGCATTGACGATTGAACTTGAAGAAGGTTGAGAATCAATTTCGAAAAAATTTGCAGACGTCCGAGTTTGATTGCTCCAAACTCCCTGACCGATGGCACAGCCAATACAAATCAACATCAAAATAGCAAAATTCGCCAAGACATTGAAATTGGTTTCTTTTTCGATTTTTGATCGTTTTGATGGAGTCTCGCCTTGATTGAGCATGATCTTGGTGTCGGCACCAGTGAAGACGACGAGGGCAATGACCCACTTCGTATTGCGCAAGGCGCATCCACGTAGCAGCAATTCGTTGATCGTCACGGGTTCTTGCATCTCGGCATCGTCCGACAACTCTTTGCCTTCGACGATGGGGTGTTCTGTTCCAAGCTTGTCGCCAGCGACACGATACTTTAGAACGCCATTGAACGAGTACAAATTGGCATGCGGCGCTTCGCATTCGACCCAAAATTTGGCGTGTTCGACGTCTTCTTCGTTGCTGATACCCATTGTCGCTTTCAAACTTTTGCGAGGTTTCAGATTGGTTTCTCCATCCAAGTTTTTAGTTTCAATGAAGCAAACGCCATCTGAATCTGATGTCGACAGCACAACGACATCGGCTGGGATCTGTTCGTTTTCTTTGAGCAAGACGATGTCGCCAACTTCGAGTTTCTTCCACAGTGTTCGCTCCCACCTCGCTGTGCCAGGAGTGGCATGAGTATAAGACAAGACGTCTGACGGTTTTTGCGATCGGTTGAGCGATGAATCTGGATACCGACTTGACTCGAGTGTTTCTGACCTCATTCGGTTAGGTGGATAACTTCCCAGAGGAGCCACAGGTGCGTCAATTGTAAACGTGCTTTCGTTCTTGTCGTCCAGTTGACCGCTCAATGTGACATTACCTATCGTTGTCGAAGGTTGATTCATGTCCAATGTTGTGGCATACAAAAACCCGGCATCGAAATCTCCTTCCTTCTCGCGCAATTTGCGTACACCTCTCGAAACACCTGATCGTAGCTTTGATTTCCAAAACTGCCACCATGCTCGAGTTGACTCGGGTACGTTGACGTTGTTCCAGTCTCCCAGTCGGGTAACGGCAGAATTATTGACACCATTGTCAAGTGAGTGCCGCCGTGCGTCTTCGATACCGTCTTTAATTGCTGTCAGACCCAGGACTGCAAGCAATGGCAGCATGCCGATCTGAGCGTTGACAGCACCAAAGATAGGGAACACTGGAGAAGCCAAATGAGATGCGAGCGTCAGCAGGTGATGACAGACAGTCGACGTCCAACGTAGTCGCTGACCTTGGAGGATAACGAGAGTCAAAAAGTAGATATTGGCTATCCGTCTGAATTGCTCCGACAAGTTCTATCGAGCCAGATTTTGATGCAATGTCAGTGTAAGGATTCTCGCAAGTGACGCTATATGTCGCGCCCGCTCACCTTTGGCAAGAACGAGACCATTGTGTACTTGCTCGTTCTGACCTTGTTGCGTTCGTAGCCTCTTGGGTCCGTCATTGCCCCTTCAACGTTGACGTACACAGTCCGTCTCGGTTTTGGTCTTGTTCCTTTTCTAAAACCTAATTTCCAGCCCGTGCCATCTTGTTTCTCTTGTCTTCGAGCGCTTTCTTGGGCTTCGGCAGCTGCGTTTGCCTGAGTCGCTTGTTGCTCAAGTTTTGATCGTCTCTTGTCATTGCGGGCTGCAGTGGCTCCCCCGCTGGCTACACTTGTCATTGTGACATCTCCTTCATCGAGTTCTGTGTCGTCTTCACCTTCTTCAGGCAAGCTTCCCGCGCCGCTTGAAGATTGAGTTGTAGCTCTCGTTCTCTTTTTTGTTCCAAAGATGGAACGACTTCGAGGTCTTGTCGTGCCTGATGTTGTCGGTTTCATGCCTACTTTTTGTTTTAATGAAATCTTTCGTTTGACTCGTCGACGATCTTCTTCCATGATGGACTCGTGAATCGAATCAGCTGCTGTACGCACGATGCGTAATTCTGGATAGGGAATGTGGTCAGTGTTGTTTCAAGAATTTACGCTCGAGCATGTTGATGCACACGACAGCGAGCGTGCTGTTCGACAGGTCTTGGCGAAACGGCCGAGGCGAACTCGCAGATATGCCCATGCCAGGTCCTGCGCCACATTGCAACCATGCTCTACTGGTGTCGTATTGCTTTTGAGTACGACGGTGTTGACTTACGCAGCTCTGGATCCGTATTGGGATCATATTCGGGGTGAGTTGTGTCGGACAAGTTGCGTCCATCTGGTCCAAATTGAGGTAGCGACTCTGTACGCGAGTGATGAGGTCTCAATCGTCGGAAAGCCATTTTTACAGTCGTTCAAGTGTGTTGAGTCAATCGAACGAGCTTGTCGAGTCTCACGATGGTCGTCCCGGACGCCGAGCAGAGGGTGGAGCGCGCGTGTGCACGCGGCCGTTGCGCTGCTGCCTGATGTACAAACCTCCGTGTATACTCGACGTAGCCCGGACGCTGAACTGGACCGAGACAAAGAGCGAGAGTGCCCGCTCCTTGTGGCGTGCGTGCGTGGGTGTATGCTGATCAAATCTGAGACCAACGGCGTGCTCTGCCTTTCGAAAAAGGGGCGCAGCAAGGGAGCACGGCACGCGCGGCTGCCACCTCGGCATCGGAAATGACATGCAAGTCGACTTGTGACTCAGCAGACGCCTCAGGACTGTTCATATCAATACAAGCTTGCCGGCTGCAGATCAAAGTGACCCCAAATCAGCATGGCTGTCTGCTTTTCGTGTGGCACCTTTTGTCGCGTTGAGACGCGTCCAGAAACCCGCGTTGTCCTCTTCTTCCTCACTGCTGGAGAATGTCATGCGTCGGTGACAAGTGAATCACATACTTGACTCTTCAGCTTCAGAGTTTCCTCTGCTAGAATGACTTGTACTCGAGCAGCTTGACGTGCCAATCCAGCCGCCCCGTGCGTCAAAATGCCTTGCGGCGCTGCAGCTGGCCAGCAGACGAGAGCTTGGATGTACACTGGTTGCAAGTCATTCAACGACCTCCAAGAATTGAGTTGAGGACAGAATTGCATGTTTTCGCTGAAACCTGATGGCGTTGCTTCTGCAGCTGCGCGCCTTACATTGACGCGAACACCGCAAACCATTGCAGCACGGCGTGTCAACGCAAAAAATCAACGAGTTCGTGCAGTACATGCAGTGAAGTAAGAACGGAATGAGCTTTGAGCGCAATCGCAAAAGGTCACGTTGACCAGCAAAAAGCGAGGTGGAGAACTTGGGAATCGAACCCAAGACCTCATGCACGTTGTACGAAACAATGCTAAGCAAGCGCTCTACCCCTGAGCTAGATCCCCGGAGCTGATAACGGCCCATCTTTCTGTGCAAATATAATAGTCAAAACACACCTAGAAAAAAATTCTCCAAATGGGACCCGAAGCAGCTGTGTTACATCTGTTGATCTCGGGAAAATTAACGGCAAAGCATGTCGTGCCTTCAAACTTGGGCAATCGACGTTTAAAGTTTGGACTCAGTCTTTCGCTGCTCTTGCGTGTCACCGACTTTCGACTGACGTCTGGAGTATTTTGAGACGTATATGTTTGTGTTTCGACTCTGTTTGCTTTGCTTTCAGACACGCTGGGTTATCAGAGCATCTGGAAGTGAGGTCAATTTGGTCGTGGTAGGCTTCTCACTGTTGTCATCGCTTCTGCATCAATCACAAGGAGTGCAAACAGTCAAGTGATGAGATGTTACATTGATTTACTCTCTGTCTATTGCATACCACTTCTATGATACTATATCGTAATTTTCGTCAAACTTCTCTGCCCACGTTTGATGATCCATCGATCCTTTAAGCACGCTCAGTAGTGTGAGACCTCACAACTAGCGACGCTTAGAGCCCTTGCCTGGTTTTGGACCTTTTCCAGGTTTGTTGGGTTGTTGGCCTGGGGGACCGTTGCCCGGCCCACGACCTGGTTTAGTCGGCTTCTTATCACGAGATTTGAACAAGGTGGCGCTATCCAAGACGGTACCATTTGTAGATGCAATGTACTCGTATGTCAAATGTGTCGTATTGTGGACCGTCAAGCGACCCCAGCCATAGGCGCTGAGCAGATGAATCGAGGTTATTGACAAGTTGACAAGCGATCTCGGCAGAAATCACGCACCTGTCAATGGCAACAAGTGAACCATTTTGCCTGACTTTATCAACAGTGTCAAGACCATCGTAATGACCTGCTGCACCGTTATTGACGTAGACAGGCGAGCTTGGATTGTTCCAACCATTTGGATCGACGGTGCCATTGTTCACTGCAAAGCGCCAGAACAAAGCAGCTTAGCTCGACAGAAGCAAGCCTAAAACTCGGAGCACTCACTGCCAGCGAAACGCTCATAGATGTGAACATGTCCTGTCATGACCAAGTCAACCTTGTTGTCGATAAAAATTTGCTCAAATGCTTGTTGCCAGGCAGGATATGGTTCAGGTTTGACTGAAACGTAATAAGGTCTATGCATACCAACGAGAACGAATGGTGTTTTCGAACGATCAACTTTATTCAAATCGTTCTTCAACCAGTCAACTTGTTGATTCATTAAACCAAAGGGACCATTGACTTGTTTGCCATTGTCTTCAATTGGTCCTTCGAGTCCATGTCCCAGATCAGTCTCCGTATCAAGCATAATGAAATGAGCCAATCCATAATCGAAACTGTACCAAAAGTTGTTGACTCCACCTGATTCTTGAGAAGGCATACGATAGTGCTCTTTGTAAAAAGTAAAGTTTTTTTGTCCTTCGAGACACCAGTCTAGACCGGTGATATTGTTAGGTTTGAGTGGTTTTTTAGGTGAGTATCCACCGTTGATGCATTGTGATTCTGTGGATAATAGTAGTGACAAAGTCAGCCCTGTCGGAAGATTGCAAAACTTGATTCCCCGCGACAAAAAGATCTGCTCACCATGGCTACAAAAGTAAGAGCAGAAGTCGTGTCAGCCAACCTAAAACGGCACCCAACTGAAATCAATACCCCCGACTCACTTCCCAGGTGCCACCATCCATGGTCGCTCCGCAGTAACGGGCTGCATCTGATCAAAGAATTGCTCGCTCAAGCTTTCATACAGGATGGCGGTCTCTTCTCTCGTTGGCAGCTCGGTATCACTGTAACCTTCAAAGTAACCTTGTACAGCTTCCTTGAATGCATAGTCTGCGTATCCGATGTCGCCAATATGCATCAAGAATTTATAATCTGCAGCATTGACCAGCAAACTTTGAATGGTGTTGGTCTCATTCGGACCAAGGGTGGTAATAGGACAGTTGGGGCAACCTTTGGTCGACAATCCATCGGGACCCATCAAACCAAGGTCTGCGAACGTGGCAATGGTGAATGGTGTTGGGTCACCTGCAGCTCGAGATGTTTGAAACGTGTACAAAGGTCGGTACGCAGCGTTGGCCGTGTTCGTGTACGACACTTTGTAGTAGTATGTCGTATCGGGTTTCAAATTCGTGAGCTTGACGCTGCACAGGGCCGGGTGTCAGCTTTATTAGATCTTCAACCTGCCGCAGCAAAGAACCCGGACTCAGAGGTTCGGGGAAAGAAACGAATCGAATCAAGCGCACTCACTGATTGTTGTAAGTTCTGGATGTCGGGTATGTTGTGGAGTCTGTGCTAGACGCAATTTGGTCCAGCTTTTGAGGACTCTCGCCGTCTTGAACCGAGCAAGATCGAAAAGTTCTTCATCTCAGCATTCTGCACTTGTCGCTACAATGTTTGCAAGTGTGGAGCTCACAGATGACAGTAGGATTTTCAAGCTTGTTGAATGAACTCCAAGACACGGTGATACCGGTTGCGCCAGCGAAACTTAGACGATGTTGCAAAGGTTCGTTCAGGTTCGCAGGTACGGCTCCCGGCACGTGAACGCCGTTGCCTACATCTTGTAGGTTACCAAGCTGTGCACTTGCAGCGGCAGCCAAGGCAACTCCAATGATGGCTCTTACGAGCATAGTTGAATGTGGCGAGAAAGGATGGAAGCAGCAGACCGTTAGATTCGCAACAGCTCCGTTAGCGCAATGCCGAGCGTTTGACACATGTGTCTCGGAAGGATTAAAATAGTGCGGATATGGCCCTGCGTTGATTTGCCGCACCATCCGGTCCTTGCTGCGAGCCCTTGAGCACTTTTAAAAAAATCCCGTGCACGTGCGAGGAGCATCCGAGCGCACGTGCACTGGTGCGTATTCTATTGATTGTAGGGCTAACAAGCATGACGTCCATAGCACGATGAAATGGAACATAATGTATCGTTCCTGGATATGTTCAGCGCTTCAAGGCCTTTGATTCGTCGACATACAGCTTGGTGTCGTTTGAGGCCTGAGCGTTTCTCAAGTGAGCCACATAGCTCTCTATCGACCGTTTCTAAGCCCTTGCAAACATCATGCACCTCGACTTTACGAGCTCAAGCATGCCAGACTTGAGCCTGTCAGTGCACCTTGAATACAAGAAGGGTGAATCGTAGCCTGGCAGTGCGTCTTTTTGAATCAATTCGCGTTTCTGCTCAAGCCCAAGTTGGCGCCAACGCAACCGCTATACATCCACAGCACTGGCTACTCCAGGGACTGCCCTGCAACTTGAATTTGATCTAAGAAGGAGCACAAGCTCGTCATTGCGTCTAAATCAGCTCGACGGACCTCAGGCTTGCCTTTGTAGCACGACATTGACCACCTACACCAGCTCAAGCCGCAAGATTGATTCTTCAAGAGCTCTTCAAGTGCAGGTAGTCGTGTACAAATCAAGAGCAGGAGCTCAACAAGCATCATGGCCGCTCCACCTCAAACTCGACGAGTATCACTGCCACCACTGCACGAGTTCAGATTCGAGCTTGAAGCTAATGAAGCAATCTCAGTCACGTTGCTGCAAGGGAGGGCAGAAGTATTTGGATCAGAGCTCGTAGCAGGTCAAGCTCATCCGTTTGGCGATGAACTCAGAGCGGCCGTATGGACACCAGACGGAGCAGAGTTAGAGATAAGTCCATACAACGATCGGCATGAAAAGAGGATCACCGATCCCTTCTTTGGCTGTGCAATCGCGTGACAGTCTTGCCTTGGGTAGACATGAGCTTGATCAACGAGACTGACACCTTTCGCTTTCGGCAATACATTGCAGGCAAGCACGAGACTTCATACGTAGGATCAGAGTCGCCAATTCCTTCGTACTTGACTCTACATCTTGCCCTGGCAAGAATGCGTCTCATGGCGAAGCAATCTTCATTCGGCACGGCAGGCAATCAAGATTTGTCAGTCCCTGATGACGAAATCTCTGCACCTAGAATCATGTTGGTTGGAGAACGTGGATCGGGTAAATCAACATTGATTAAAATGTTGACAAATTGGAGAATAAGAGAATCTTGGGCAAAACATGGTGCAAAGGGAGCAGCTGTTGATTCAAGTGGACTCGTGTTTGTCAATTTGGACGTTCAAGAAGGAGCAATGACGATGCCTGGTACAATTTCAATCGCTCACATGAAATCAATGTTGACAACAACAACGCCTGTCAGTCCTTTTGGTACGGCAATCTCGTCTGGTCCACCTGTTCCTTTCCCAACACCGACGAATGCAACAGAGTGGCGACCGTCGGCATCAGTGGATGCGTACGCTCCTACGGTCAACCCACTAGTATTTTGGTACGGCCATGATGCCACGAATGAGAACCCAGATTTGTATGACAAACTATTGAAAGAAGCTGGAAGATGTTTGAAACGAAAATTGGAAGAAAATGGAACCGAGACCTGGAAAGGTGGATGCATTATTGACACACCTGGTCAATGGGCTGAAAAGAAATCAATGTCATATATTCCAAAAGCCGTCAGAGCACTTGAGGGTGAGTAAATCGTTTGATCTTCATTCCGAAGCTAGCAAAGTTGACAATCTCCTCGCTACGTTAGCAAACATTGTCTTGGTTGTTGGCAGTCAGCGATTAGAAGATCAAGTCAAACGGTTGTTGGAAACGAACAAAACAGTGACGGTAGTTCGTGTACCACCGAGCAACGGCGTGAGTGTGACGTCCAACGGCAACTTTGGCCAGTCGTACTTTCTGACACTCTCCAACCTGTTCAGGCTTCGGAAGCAGATGACTCACTCGCCAAGAGAGTCAAGGACGCTCAAATCAGATCTTACTTCTACGGTGGACCTGCATTGACAGCAGGTGTTCTCTCACCATTCTCGATCATTGTCAAATTTGATGACCTCAAAATCTTCCGAGTCGGAGAATGTGAGTTCACGTCGAGATGGGCGAGTCAGTCGTCCTGGCTTGCTGATTTGATTGTTTTTTGTCGTAGCATCCGAAACCATGGCTCCAGATTCTGCCTTACC